AAAAAGTGCAGGTGTTCAACAGTGCTGAAAAAAGGGGGCCAACATCACATAACAAGTAAGGAGCAAAATCAGGATTTCGTGGGGCCCAACCTGACCTTGCTTGTTTGACAGCTCGCAGAGAAAATGTAGAAAAGCTGAAAAATCATGTTGCCTTAAGAATACTTGTCTGTGCTGCAGCAGCACCTGAACATTTTAGGTCCTCAGGCTCTGTGATTTAGGAAGAGAAGGCTACCACAGGAAATGGTCAAGGTTTAAGGTCCTGTTTTTCAATCCTTTGTTCTCCTGGTCCAAAAGAATTTCTATCATGGCCCTCAAGGCCCGCAGGGGCAGAACTACACTTATGGTGAATACCCTCCTCAGCTTTCTCCAGACACTGTATGCCTGTGAAATGGTGGAAGGGTTTGCATGCACCCATGGTGATCATTGCTATCCTAGAAGTAAAGTCTCCTAAACTGGACAGATAAAGATGAGCTCTTGGGACAAGCAGACAGTCTTCTAAATTAGGAACTGAACATAAGACCAAATCTTCTCTCTCATTTGAAAATTATTCAAGAAACTGACACATAATCTTCGTGAAAATCCATTTGCCTGTGGGCCAGACACTGAGTAAGTGTTAGAAGACAGTGTACTTACATGTGCATCATTTACATCTTGTTTGATAGTTGGCTCTATCTATGGATGAAGGGATAAAAGTGAGCAAAACCTCTAAGTCTATGGCAGCAGCAGGAAACACTCTTGAAAAGAAGTGATGGACAAATCCTGAAAGCAGCCATTGTGCTCCAGGGTCTGCAAAACTAGAAAGCAAATGATCTTTCTGAGATAACTAAAACAAATGATCTTTCTGAGATAACCAAAGCATAACCTGATTATTGTACGGATTTTTACTAGGTAAATCATCAAGGTCACTCATTAGGCACCTCTGATCAACCTAAATAGATGCATAAAATGCTTAATGGATGGAGAACAACATTCATAAAGAGGCAAAGGTAATTTTTCACAAAAATATAAAATAAAAGTATTTAGAATACAATCTGACTGAGAAGGCAAGAATTTGTGATTTAGAAAGAGTATAGGATCATCTAGATTATCTCATCTGTTACCCCCTTGTCTCTTCTTCCTGAAATAAGAACTGAAGGAAATCCCAGTTGCAGTATGTTGTGGTTTAACCCAAGCCACCAACTAAGCACCACACAGCTGCTCACTCACTCCCTGTCCCCATAGGGATAGGGAAGAGAATTGGGAGGGGGTGGGGGGAGAGAAGCAAAATTCATGGGTTGAGATAAAGAGAGTTTAATGGGACAGAACAGGAAGGGGTGGAATTGGAATATACAAAACAAGTGATGCATAATAATAGTAATAGTAGTAGTAATAGCAAAATGAGTATACAAAACAAGTGATACACAGTGCAATTGCTCACCACTTGATGCCCAGCCAGTCCCTGAGCAGTGACCTCCTAGGCAGCTTTCACCCCAGTTTACAAACTGAACATGTCACCACTCAGGATGGAATATCCCTTTGGCCAGTTTTGGTCAGCTGTCCTGGCTGTATCTCCTCCCATCTTCTTGTGCCTCCCAGTCTACTTACTGGTGGGTAGATTGGAGAAGCTGAAAAGTCCTTGACTTTTGAGTAAACACTGCTTAGCAACAACTAAAACATTAGTGTGTTATCAACACAATTCTCAGATTAAATCCAAAACACAGCAGTGTATCAGCTACTAGGAAGAAAATTGACTTTATCCCAATCCAAATTGGGAGACAATAGTACTTGGGGTGGTCAGCAGATACTTGACAGATGCACTGCTTTGAAATACGTTAACTGGGAGCAACCAAAAAAAAGGGCGAACTTCTGCTCTCAGGGTTTATGTCTACCCGCATCTTTTGCTACAGACCTCATCTTTGTTAAAGAATGGTTTTCTCTCAACTGGCAGCAAGGCTTAAAGTGCAAGACAAGACGGCAAGTAGCCCTCTACTATTTCAAACATTTTGTAATTATGCACTTTAAAAAGGCAGCCGTGATGCGTTCTGGAATTCCATCGTGGTTGAGAGCCCAGCAAAATTCAGATATTCATTTCACTAGGTGTTTGTAATTTAAAGTTTTGCTCCAAATCAGAATAGAAGAATTCATTACCTTGAGAAAGTTGTGGAGAACCTTTATTTCAGATTGATCATAACAAGTGACAGCTTTTCAAATTTTTTTATTATTTTGTAATATATAATATAAAAGGAAATATTTTAAAACCAAAACTCATTTTGAAGGAAGAAATTGAAACATTTAGCTTGGAAATGTCACAGCAAGATGTTCCCACACTGTTGGAACATCCCTTCACCACTTACTCTTTTTAAAATTACATTTCCAGTGCAACTGACACAAGTTTGAAAAGCATTTCCATTTTGACAGGGTTGCATTTTCCAGTGCAAAGCTGTTCTTTCAGAGGTTTTCCAACCAGCTCCGCTAGAAACAGGTGTCACAGGATTGCAACAACCTTTCCTTTGCCAAATTGCTAAATTGAAAGCAGGATCCTGGAAGAGGGGCTGGGGTGGGCAAGGCATGAGGGGTCACAGGATGTCCCACAGTGAAGAAGGTTGAGAACCCAGTGCTTGAATCACCTCTGGTTACCTATAGGTCATGTCTCCTGTGGAACTGTTATAACTGCGGGCTGAACTGGCAGTAGCAGCTGTACGGGATTTTAGGGGGGAAAAAACCCTCAGGAAGTGGGCATGATGACATGTTCAACCCTACAGGTTCCCTCTCTACCCATACCAGTTTAGAAGCTATGGAAAGAAGGATTATGCTGAGACTGGAGTAACTCCCAGTTAAGGATGGGGATCATTAGCAAGCCATGAATGTGGAGGTGGGATGAACAGTAACACATGCCCTTAAATTCTCCATGAGGGCTGATTTTAGTCTGGCGATGTCCACTTGATGTGACTTGCCTTTGCAGAGGGGATGTGTTCCTCCATGACCATCGAAGACATGTTTAACTCAGTAGGTTCACATTAAAAGCAAAAGCACCCAACTCTTTCAAAGAATTACAAAAAAAAAAAAAAAAGTTGTAGTCCTCTGAGGAGGACAAGTCAGTACTTTCTGAAATGCACAGCTAATGAGAAATCTGATCTGTTTTAATGCAGTCTTAAATAAAGTTCTTTTTACACACCACTTCCAAATGACCACAGACGGACTGACTAATACCAGAAACTCAAGCTGGACACAAATGAGTTAGCCATTTTTCCCCCGTCCACTTTTCTCACAGAGCGTGCCAATGGAAATTATCTCCTTTCTTGTTAATTTAACGATTACCATCAGAAAGAGCTAGTGGTGGAAAAATTATAGGCAGTAATTATGATCTTGCAGACTCGCTGTGGGACTCAATGCAGGGAAAACACTAGATTGTGAGAATGACGCTGTGCTCCTCAGCAGATGCACTTCAGTGGATGGAGCCCTGAGATTTTGGTTGCCTCAGACCCTGGGGGCCCAGCTTGAGTAGCCTTTAAGAGGAAGAGTCAATATCAGATGGCAGCGACATCTCGAGTTGAACACCCCTAAAAAGTACAGCCACCCAAACCCTTTAATCTTCACTTGGGAGAGCTGAGTGCTTTTTTTTTTTTTTCATGAGAAACAAGGAATATGGCATATTCTTCTCCATGGGTGGATGGACCAGTTAATGTCTTTAGACACTATGTCAAATAATAAACATTTATCATCTTTCTGTATTAATTCGTGTGAAGACAAATACATATTTATGACACTGCAGAGGAAAAAGCACACGGAGCAAAGCCAGCTGGATATCACACTCTTTAGGAACTGACTGTTGAATAAAGCTCAGCTTGCCCGTTGTGCCCATTCCGTGTTCGCCTTTGGAGCTATGTCGCCCCTCAGCACTCCTGAGGGTTGCCATGAAGGCTGTCGCGTGAGCCCCAGAACACCCAAGGCGGGACACAAGGCTAGTGACAAAAAGGGGAAATAAACGATGGCAGAACTCCGGTGTTTCACAGGAATAACTGGGACGGCGAAGGGATGCCCTACGCGGACAGCCACGGCCGCCAAGGCACCCCATCCCCTGGGTGCGCCAACCCCGCGGCCCGGGGCGAGCTCGGGGCCGGCCCGGCTCTCCCCAGGCCGCGCCGGCGGGTGGCCGGGCCGGGCCCCCCCGGGGGGGGAAGCACCGTCCGCCCCCGCGGGCCGGAGGAGGCGCTGCCTTCCACATTGGTCCGGGGCCCGGCGCGCCGCCTTCCCCGGCCCGGTTACCCGCGACCGGCGATGGGGGCGCCGCGGCGGAGCGCCGGCACGACGGGGCTCACGGCCGGTCATCGCCCACGGCCGGCCGGGGCCGCGGGGAACGGCCCGACGCGGACAGCGCGGCCGGGGCCCGCTCCGCGCCGCCCGCCCCCGCGGTGCCCGTCGGTGTGCCCGCGTCCCTCCCCCGGGGAGAAGTTTGGCCGCCGCCGCCCGTCCGCCCCGGCGCTGCCCGCGCGTGCGGGGCGCCTCCGCCGCTGCCAGGGCCGGGACAAAAGGCACACACGGACACGTGATGGGCGCCGGGCTTCATAAATGGGACCGGAGCGGGGCGGAAGGCGGGGGACGTAGCGGCGGCGTGTGCCGGAGCCGCGCCGGGCGCCCGGCGGCTCCCGCGCTGCCTCCCCTCGCCGAGGCGGCGGCGGGCGGAGGCGGCGGAGGAGGAGGAGGAGGAGGAGGGGGCGGGCGGCACATGGAGCGGCGGCGGCGGCGGCGGCAGGGTGGCGGAGCCCGGCGTGCCGCCTGATCCGGGCGAGCGAGGGCGACGGTGATCGGAAAGGAGGCGCCGAGGGGAGGGAAGGGAAGAAAGGGAGGCATCCGGGGGGAGAAGTCTCCCACCTCCTCCTTCCCCTCACCGGCACCGCCTCCTCGGCTCTCCCCAGTGCTGGGGTGTCCGGGCGGGGCGGCGCTCACGCTGCCTGCCAGGGGTCGGCGCGGCCGGAGCGGGGGACGCGGCTGGTGCCGTGCGGAGGGTAAGGATGGCGAGGGGAGGGGGGGAGGGAAGGAGCCGCGGGTGCCCCGTGGTCTGGGGCCAGGGACCCGTTGTCCCCCTCAAAGTTTGTTGGCGGCGTGAGTAGGACGGGGATCCGGGGGATGACACCTCCCGCCCCGACGGCGGAGCGGGCGGAGGAGAGGCAGTTGCCTGCGGAGCATCCCTCGCCGGGATCTGGCGCGGAGTCCCGCGGCGATCGCGACCTCCGCTGCGGCGGGGGCAGGGCAGAGCGCGGGTCTCGCCCCTGCCCCAGGCACGGCCCTGCACCGCCGCCTCGGGCTGTTGGGGCTAGGTGGAGGGTGCCCCGGGACCACCCGGGAAAAGCTGGTGGTCCGAGGAGCGGGGTTTGGTTTCGCGATCCCGGCCGGAGAAGGGGAGACCCGGCTGCCGAGGGGGGCCCGTCAGCGAGCGGGGGTGCGGGAAGCTGGTGGCGTTATGGTTAACACGCGTCTATTCTTCTGTGCGCGGAGCCGGCAGCCTCCCAGGCTCCCACAGGACCTCATCTGACATCGGAGGTTTCTCCTCTCATCCTGACCCACTGGTGATTTACAGCGGGTGGTATTCAGCCCGGCTTTCCTGTGCACTTTTCGTCCCTAAACTCTGCTTTTGACGCTGTAACCGAAATAAAAGGCGGTTCGTAATTTTGTGCGCAATGATGTTCCCTTAAAAGATGTCACTTAGGAGTCCAGCATCCTCAGTATATCCCGGTAGGGTTTTTTGGTTGGTTGATTGGATGTTTTTTGTCTGAAATTTCGGAGGTATGGTGGGGAGAGAGACGAAAGAGAGTGAGCCTTTTAAACTTCACGCAGCGTTTGTCATGTGAAATCTTCAGCTGTTGAGAAATAATTTTGAGCCAGATGGGCTTATTTTAAATGGGCATCTTTTTGTCTCAAAGGCGTCTGCAAATCTCCATTAAGAACACCCCTGGATGAGGTATGTACCAAGCCTTTGGTAGGAGAGAGCCTATTAATGTTATTGCAGTTTGATTAAGTAAAATGGTGTCAGAAGATGAAGTCCATAGTTTTCCTTCTTTCTCTAAAATTATCATCAGTGTTATTTTCCGTGTGGCAGCAAATGATGAGATTAACAGTTTCGGCACCTGTTTTTTTCCTTCAGAAGATAAAGAGACATATATAACGTAGAGCCAGATAGCAAAATACTCCTTGAGTATCTACAAGTTTGTAAAAAACCACATAGTGTGGCTTTTTTAACCTGTTAAAGGCGTAGTAATGTTTCTTTTTTTTTTTTTTTTTTTTTTCCCTTAGATATATCATCTTGTTTTCATTGTTATTGTTCACCCTTTCTTAAAGGAATATAGCATTCTCTGCTGGGGGTGGCACTTCTGTTAACACATACCAGGATCACTCAAAGAATCAGAGTGATACTGGGTATGATATTTAATAACAAAATGTGCAACATTGCAAAAATTACTTGGATGTGCTTAATTCTTTTCTCATTACACCTGATATCATCTGCCAGCATGGGTTTTCCTTTCCCAAGAAAGGAAAAAAACCTCTGTGACTGGAGTAGGAATATTTATTATGCAGGCTTAGAGTTTATTAAATCATTTGTAAAAGAAATGAATGTAACATCTTTAAACAGTTCAGAAGATGAATGTGGAATTCCTGATTTGCTTGAGGTTAAAATTAGTTTTGTAGCTACAAGTAGCAGCTTTGCTTTATTTTCTATTGGTCTTTGGAAAAAGAAGCAGAACCATTTGAATAAAACCATTTTAAAGCAGAATTGATAAAAACAATAATTGTTTGACTGAGCCAACCAGCAGGCATCTGTTGCCAGGAGGGGGGGAAAAAAGTTGGCTAGGTAAAGAAACCGACTTATTTGCTGTGAATTTAGCTTGTCAACCATTCTGTGACACTTAAACCCACAGTAATCAAATCAAAATACCTATAAAACTCAAGGTGAAGGTGGAAGCAGGTTACAGTATTGCGAGGATGAGCTGGTGGACGCCTTTGATCCTGGCTGTTGTTCTTTGGTGAATGATGTTAGCTCAGTTGCATAAAGGATCCCATTAAAGGCTTTCATGCTCTATTTAGGGAATGGCAGTTCTTAGCCAATGCAAGCCTTTCTTTCCCTTCCCCTGTTCACAAGTTTCTGATTGGGCAGTGGAAGTTTAGAAAGAAGAAACTTCTTTCTTTCTTTCTTTCTTTTTTAAGCCATTTCTGACTATCAACCTTTAATGGGGCTGTCTCAAAATGCTTGCAGATTCATCCCACTGGGAATTTTGGTGCTGAAAGTGTTACGCAGTAGAAAGGGAGAGGTAGCATGGTTTTCATTTCTGTTGAGTAGATGTAGGTGAAGAGATTAAGAGGCAATGGAGAATCCAAACTTATATGTTAATTTAGTATTGCCCGAGATTTTTACAAATACATTGCTATTCACGGTTCTGCAGGTCTCGTACGCTGTCTTCCACTCACCTAGTTTCTCTAATTCTGCACCTTTAGAGAGAAATTACTGTAACTTCTTTCTCAAATGCAGACTTTGTGACCTCTATAGTCATGCAGTCATCGAGGTGTCCACAGAATTCGTTTTTCTCTACAGTGGTTGCTCTTCACTACTTTCCAGATGTCTGTATTGTCTTTATCTGAGTCTTCTCATGAAACAGTAAATTGGTTTTCTGCCTTTTTTTTTTCGGTGCAATTTCCCCAATAGTTTAGTCTATGTAAAATGATGCATGTTCTACAAAACCACTCATCGACCATTTAGGTGAGAATTTGGAGATTTTTCTCTAACAGCAAATTCACAAGTCTGATGATGATTTAAAATATGTACTGTGGACGACCCTAACACTGGGATTTGGCCAAGTTCAAAGCAGCTATGCAGATGGACACAGAAGACAGAAGGCAGAGGGAAATAGACCCTTTTAATCATAACAAGGCTGCTCTTGTTTTCTTATCTATAGTGGAAATGAATGCCAGCCCCTTGTACCTAAAAGCAAGCTTGCAAATTTGCCAGAATAGGCTGCAAGAGCATTTGTTAGTAATGTAAAGTTAAAAATGTGACAACCTGTCTTCTCAGTACTGCTCTTTATGTCTCCATTTCTAGAATGACACTGTACTGCTACAAAAAGTGCACATCCCATTGCTGTTGGTGGGATAAGAATTTTCCCCCCAGAACTGAGGCCCTTTGAAAGTGCGTGGCTTTGTTAATGATCGCTGAAACCAGCTATGACCTGTCCTTTTGAAATGGTTATAATGACTTATAAATCAATTTCTCGTTAGACAGAACTTTTTTTTTTTCTTTTCCCCAAAGGTGCTGTTGTTGCTCATGAAAAATGATTGGGTTTGCAACATAAGGTCGGAGCACATTTTATTCTGCCATTTGTGCCTCATGCAGGGGCATTATGGTAATGCACACCCCAAGCCTGGTTCTGCCTCTCTTCAGTAGAAACATCCTTTATTGATCAAGCTAGCAACATCCAAATTACAGACAAAATAGATATTTCACTACTGGATATGTTAGTAAAATAGTCACTCGTTATACTCTGATAGGACTGTTTGGTGAAACTGGATGTTTTACACAATTCAGATGTTGTATTATTTGTGTAGATTGAGGCTAGATGGCATCAAATAGTACCCCATCCTGTGTTAACTGTTTTATGGCAATTGTATATTCATAAGAAAAACGTGTTCACTCACCATAGAGTCCTGAGCAGGAGCAGTTCTGTTCTGTCCATTTCCTTTCAGCCCTCATTGGAGTCCTTTCCATCTTTCTGCATTTTAGGAAACATTTCCAAGTTTGTGTTTAGGGACTTGGGGGTCTCCCACCTTACTGTTGTGCTGAATATGTGAAACATGCTCTCAGAAATCACTGGTTTTAGTCAGTTGTGCCTCTCTTTTAAGCAATGTGATACTGAAGTCCAGACTATGCATGTGCCTGGAAAAGTGTATGACATATGTATATATACATGCATTATTACTCAGTGATAGATACACTAGTTTTAGATTCCTGCTTTTCCCCAGGAAGGCTGTGTATAAGGGAATTCAAAAGGATATTCATCTTACCTGTATTTATTGTATCTAAACTTCTAGCTTGTCTGCTTGTCCTCTAGCACTTGAAATTTGAGTTTATGCATGAAAAACAGTCCTGCAGTGTTTCTTCCTTTAGGCATGTGGGGTTTTTTTCTATGTGTATACCTGTTTGTAAATTTATGCACAGAAATATATATTTACACACACATACAAATAAAAAGTCGTAACTGCGGCCCTGAGATTAGCTCCGTTTGTCAGAACCTGGTACTAATAATGCCAAGATTGTGGGTTTAATCCCTGTACGGGCTTCTCACTTAGAAAGTTGGACTCAGTGATCCTTTTGGGTCCCTTCCAACTCAGAATATTCCGTGATCTCTCAGTATATTTTAACTGTTTCTCCAAATCTGATGTTATATTGATTGGAGTCTCACTACAATTTGTTGTTCTGGCTACTTGGTTATCAGATTCCATTGTAATTCTTTCTCACTTCTCTCCCTCTCTCCCTTTTTTAAAGAAAGAAAAGCATCTGCATATTTTGAAGACATACACCACTGCCAGGCAATCTGGTGTAGCAGCTTAATGTGCTGGCAAATAATTTCACAAGTTGTTTGTGTGTGTGAAGGCAGTATATTTTAATATCATTATAATTTGAATGTAACTATGAAGACAGTTATCTGAGCTTATTTAAATCTTATGAAAGGCCAGATAGCTCCAGAAATGAAAGAATGTGCTACATTTTTTTAATTGGAGTGAATATTTTTGTCCTTCGCTAATGCTGATGGTGTGGGACATCGCATTTGCCTAAAGCATTTCTAACCTAGCTTCTGAGCATTGCCAGTACTTGATGGCATAATAACTTTTTGGAGAAGTAGGCTCTTCAACACTGAGGTAGAAGGGATCTTGCTTGCAGTGTATTGCTGGCCTTCTGTGCACTAACTTTTTGTCATAGCCTGTAAACCCCCTTTTAACTTCTAGTGTGTTTATCTGCTGTATGGGTCACCCAGTGGCTCCATTTGAGCACTCTCCTCCTTTCAACCTCTGAGGTCCGTATCCTGTACTTCATTTTCCTTAAGCAGTTTGATTTTAATTAATGTCCCTGGCCAAATTTACTCAGCTGATCTCTCCTGAGAGGCCCCAGCTTGGTCCCCACTGTCCATGCGTACAGTGCTGTCCTTTTCTCTGACCTTACCAAAGATGGCTTCTCAGAGTCCTTTGCATCTTCCTTCATTGCTTGAATACAGATCAGAAATGGACTTTCAAAAGAGCAAGTCACTGCCCGCAGAGCAGTGGATCTGTTCTTTCTTTATGGGGAGATCTGAAAAATCCCACTAGCTATATCCTTCAGCTTAAGGAGGTGTCTGAAGTTCACATAGCTCAGAAGAGGAGGGAGGGTTTCTCTCGTGAGTTTTCTCCTTCACCTGATCTACTTTCCTCCAGCCGATCACAAAGGCAGCTCTTCTCTTTCTCTGCATCTCTGCCTCACAGGGGCTTCTTCCACTTGGGTCTTCTCTTACCTTTCCCCACTTTGCTTCTGTCTTACCTGGAGATGTTTTATTTCCAGTATGGGGACAGTAGTTATCTTTCCTCTATCATACCAATCCTCGTCACACCAAAAACTTTACCCTCATTACCTTTGCTCTTAACATCTCCTTGCTATCTCACAAAGCCTTTAATTAAAACTTGTTACAGTCAGTTTGTTGCAGGAGGATGAAAAGGCAGGCATACACTCTGTGCAGTTTATGAGCATTCTCCCTGGAGCCTGATGTTTTTGCTATCTTTCTATTTCTAATCCTTACTCTTTTAATAAAGTTAACTAATATTTTCTGCTGCAACAAATTCTTGACCTTCTCTCTTCTTCTCTGGCCATTACATGGAAGCTGTTTTCTTGGAATGGTTCTCTCTCTCACTTTTTTTTGCTTCCTAATAAGTGTGTTTTCCCCCCGGTTTTTATCCTCTAGACATTACGTTCTTCTGAAGACCTTTAGCATTTATCATCCAATGGACCCTGGGTCCTTTATGTCCTGCTCTGTTTTTTCAAATTATTTTTCTGCCTTAAACTACACATTGTGTACTAAACTGCCATTTCTTCTAGGTACTTTCAGGAGAATGAATGTTCAGCCCACTTTTGCACCTAGCTGTGCTTCTCTGTCCCTGCAGTAGTAAGTGCATGCACTTTTTGGCATTAGAGAATGGCTAGAGAAGAGACTGGAAATTATACAATTTCTGTTGGAGTATTGAAATCCAAGATAAGATAAATACTTTTGTGAAAAAGTTTGTGTTCAAAATTGCCCAGCTTCATGAGTTCTCTTCCATTTTCTTTAAAATGTAAATACCATAGCATTGCATCAAACTTTTTGTAGTATCTGTCCATTCTGCTATATTCGGAAAGGAGAAGGGAAAGTCAATTATTGGTACTTGAGTCCCTAAACTGGAGCTGATTTTAAGCAAACAACCAGGTCACAATTGCTTCATTGTTGCTCAATTGTTTCCTTTGATCTGAGTCTTACATACTTCAGCAAACTCTTTATACTCTTCCAAAGTTTTATCTTTATATGAAATTATGATAAATAAACTGTGAAAGGTATTAAAATTCCGCATTTAAAGATAAGACACCTTAGTCTTTCCTTCTTTCTCACAAAAGCTGGGCAGAGCAGGTAGCTGTAGTTTCCCATTAATGTGACCCTGATGATCCCCTTGCTGGTTTGTGATTTCAGTACTTCGTCTTGTCTCCAACGTGGTAGGCGGTGTGTGTGTAAGGTGTTGTATTTTATAAGCTGAGGGCTTTTGACTGATCTCAAGAGTTTAGACCATTTTTCACAGGCAGATGGGGCAGCCGTCCCCGCTCTTTTTTCCCTGCGCCTGGGTGGGATGCAGGAGATGCATCCTGGGGTTGCTTAGTTCAGAGAAAGGGCTTCAAGCTAAGCCTCTCACTTTCCAGGTGCGCACCCTGCCTCCTGAAATATCAGTTGGTGCCTTTATTTCTGTATGTTTAACTCTTGATCAGCATGGAACAACTCGAGGAGTTTAGAGGTGGACAGCAGAACGTAAGGGCTGCCAGCACACTCACCTACCTTGCAGGAGAACAAAGTTTGGGTCCTTCACCTGCACCAAATGGAGCAGGACTTCAACCTTGCTTTTGAACCTCTCTGATCTTAGACACACGTTTATCCCCTGACTGTTTGGGAGGTAAGGCACAACCTCCTTTTCTCTGTACGTGCAAGTCACCTGTGCTAAAACTGGTACGCACATCTCACCAACAAAACTTGAGAGGGAGAAAATAGTGTTATTTCTTTTAAAAACATTGTCTACCACTGACTAACGCCCTGTTTTCCCCCTTGTTTTGTTTTTGTTGTTCAGATTGTCGGCTTCTGGATGCTGGGGGGTGTCACGTAGGGGCTGTTTACCTACAAATTGGAACAGTCCAGTCCTTATTCTGCTAGTGTGCAAACGGTATGTTAATTAACAAAATAACCATGTAGCTGTGGCTTCTTGCTAATTAAGGTTCAGCTTGCCAGAGATATGATCATGTTACATAAGAACAAAATTTGATTCAGTACTTGCATGCCCTACTTTACCCCATAGCTGATAGTGCCTTGCTGTATCTAGAAGATAACATCCCTCATTTGGTCCTCTCCTAGTGTCTTTCTCCTTCCCCATCCCTCACACAGAGAAAATTCTGATTGAAGTGAATGCAGGTTTTCCTGAATTAGGAGTGACAGTGTTTTTGCCATTTATAGCCTAGGAGTAGCACAGTGTTAGAGATAGAGTAGTAAACCAGTAAATAGGATAAGGGTAACATTGCCGTCACATTGTTGTCAACATGTGTTTTTTCCTTGCTCAGTGTTACTGAGCCTGCAAATGCTATTTCTCAGTCTGCACATTTCTTTCTCCGTCTTGGAAACCTTGTTCTGTCCTCGAAGCAGTATTGTTCATCACCATATGGGATAAGGTAATTATTAGCCATATAAATTTTCATTTTATAGGACAGTTCTAATTCCTAAAGGCCAACAGTTACCATGGTAAACCTCATTTCACTCATACTTCTCCAGCTGACTGCGTACGAGTATAAATTTCTGTTTCTTCTGTGGTGTTACTTTGTGGATCCAGTTTGGTAGGAATCCCAGTGTACTGGGCACTATGCAACCTTATCAGAAGATAAAGCCCTTCTCTGAACAGTTTACAACCTTACAACATGTACGCAAGGAGAGCACATTTACATATTTTTGTGTCTTCAGAAACTGTTTCAATTCTACCTACTTGTCCTTTTAGCCTATTCTTAATTAACTATGATTATCAGAGAACAAATGTTTAGACATGGAGATCAAAGTATTTTCTAAAATAGAAGCTAGAAAGGTTTGATTGTGGATTTCCCTTTCTAGTTTTGATTCCTTTTCTTGCCGTGTCAACATTTTTGCAGTTATCAGTAGCATCATTGTATTGCTCATAATGACTTTCCAAGGAAGAACACAAATACTCACTGCTTCTATTCAGGCTTTAAAAATTGCTCTATCAGTCATCGTGGTTTGAAAATAATAATAAATTCAGCGGTTTTTATAGACAACAATAAAAACTTTCCAGCCCTCCCTCTCCTCCAGAACAGCAGGAGAAGATAGGTAATAGCATTTTAATGAAGTCACGTTCTTGTTCCAAAGTGAACTGGTCTTGTGCACCAATAAGAGGTGTAATTCTCCCTCTTGTCCTTGATGATGTTACCAGTCTTTTATATACTATGTATTTTTTTATTTTACCTAAAGTGTACGTATATTCTGGTATCATCTTAGCATCTTTTAGGATGTAACCACACAGTGGAGGGCAGTAGTAAGATTTGCCCCCTCGACTCTTCACTAATTCTTTCACTTCAAAGGTGAAGTCTTAAAAAGTTGCTGCCTTCAATCATCAGGTAGATGTTTAACACCTCAAATATTTGATCGCCGGTAAAGTAGGCTGGGAAAAAGGGCTGGAAGAAGTTGAATGCAGGTCTCTGCAGACAACTAAGCTGGGACTTTGTCAAAGCCACTCCATCTAGTGGCAGTTGCTTCGCACGGCTGGTCCGACAGTGCCCTTCAATAGCTGCTGGATGACTGGGAAAAGTGTCTAAAATGATGTTCAGCTTTGCCTTTTCTGGTCTGGTCTTCAAGATAAAAGATGCTTGGAATTTTTTTCTGTTGTTTAATTTTTATCTGTAATCATAATTCAGTATTTGCACTGTGTGCAGTCGTGGAAACATATCAAAAATTTTGAATGCTGGTGTCAGTACAGGCTCTCCCTCATCTTTAATCAGTGTTTCAGTCCTTTAAAAGCTATTTTAAAATGAGTGAGGTAGTAGAGCTCATTTAAGGAAGGGATGAAACCGAGAGCTTTGAAACTCAAAGGCTCTGGTGAAAGAGTGAATTCTGGGAGGGCAGGGAGGCTCTCTGTCACTGCTACCCTGTCTGTGAGGGGAGCTTGCCACAGCACACACCCATCACTCCAGCCCTATCCAGAGAGGACAGATCTGTGTGGGGGATCCATGTTCTCTAGGGAGGCTGTGAGAAGCCACAGGGGCTTCTGGAGTATTTAATGTAGAGATCACCATGGGTGTTGAGCAGTATGGGTTTGTGTTCTTGGTCTGTATGTATTTGGGTTGTGTTGAAGCCAACTGCAAAGAACAGTGTGGCCACATGGTATGGGGTGTCTTTTTGTGCACAGTGCCTGCTCGCCACTCCAGGTTTGGACAGGAGAGCTCAGAGAAAAAATTTTTATGTTGCTGAGATGTGCACCTGACCAAATAAAGAGATCAGAAATAAGACCACTGCTTCTGCCATTGCCTTTTCAGTCTGTGTTGAATCGTGCAGCACCCTCAGACTATGACCTGATAACCACAGCGCCAAAGGTCCAGTCTTGTTTTCACTAGATAGCTGTGGAAAACCTCGCTGATCTCTTCAGTGCATTTCAGTAGAGAGCTTATACCAGGATAAGCTAGTATCTAAATTAAAACAAATGAAATTCCTGTAAAGTGCAATTCCAGATCAGGAAAATGGTTGTTTTACTGCAACTTTAATAAAAATCAACTGCTGCTTGAATAGGTGCATGCACACATACAGCTAGAAATTTCCAATTATGATATTCCCAGCAGCAAACAAAACCAAAATTAATGTCAGCAGCATCCCCCAAAGCCTAAACTACACCACTAATGAACTCCCAAGCACTCCCAAAGAAAACTCTCTTTGCAGATACAATAAGGTAGAAATTACTGTAATAATCTGAATGTAAAAATACAGAGGAAAAAAAATCATTGACATTCAGAGTAAGATTTGCTTCTCCTGATCCCATTAACCATGTTGTTAGCATAGCATATGCATGCATAGTGATACTGTCACATAACTCACTGCCACCTTCAAAAGAACACGCAGGAATTCGTGTTTTTTCATTTGTATTTCAAACAAAGGCATGGCACCTAATTCTGACGAGTCTATACTTGACATGACTCCAGCAGGGACCAGCTACCTCATAACAATTTGTTTGTCTGTCTAACAGAAGTGCTCAGTTGCATACAATTTTTGAAGCTTTCCTCAAACATAATCTTCTCGACATGGGGCTGTGGCTTTAATCATTAAAATGGTTGTCTTTTTTCTGTCAGAAAAAAGCTGGAATAACAGAGGATACCACAACCATTTTTACATGTTTATAGAACTATTTGTATTATTTAATGTTTTTTTGTAGTTTTCAGATTAATAACACATTCTTCACTTCTGATTTTAAACTGGTGTTATAATGCCAAGTGTAAAGTTGCCAGACTTCACCCAAAGCAGATTTGTTAAGAAGCATCATCCTTGCAAAATGTAACATTTGCAGATTTTCTAGGAACAGCTGTAAAGCACCTTCTTGAAGAAAAGTACCTTACATATTAGATGATTGCTGTTCATTTTTAATGTATGCTTCAGTGACATTTCTCTCCCTCACTGCTCACACCCTCAGACTAAAATTCCTTAATGTTGTCTAATAATTATATTGTTACTTGCTGAGCAAAAGCTGACTCAGCCAGTATATTTTGTGTATTAAGACTATCCCAGTAAGGTTTGTTTATACTCATCCTTGTTTGCAGCACTGGAGTTGCAGTGTCTTCTGAAGGTCTAAGTTCATATATTCCCTTTACTATCAATGGCCAGGCCTGCTTAATGAAAGGTAAAACTTTAAAGAACTGTGGAAAAAGTCTTGAGTGTTCAGATGATATAAGCAAGGGCAGGGTAAATATATCATCAGCCAAATGGTCTCTGCTTTCAGAAATGCTCATGATTTTGTATGTTTGTAAGTTATTGGTTAATAAGTTATTGGTATTGTTGTTAGAGAGGAATCTTTTTCTGCTTTCCGATAATTTTCATGGGAAAACAGAGCTGTGGTACCTACTGTGCAAATCTTCTCTTTAGGAGTTGTACTGAGAGTTTTGGCAGATAGTCTCTCATGCCCTTTTTGGCCATTTATTGTTACTTGTGTCAAGTGAACAGATTAAGTCAGTACAAGCGTATATATTTCATGTGAGATTTCTTGAGTGTGACAAACAATTTCCTCCATTCTAAAACCAAGAAGAAGCTTGGTTTTGCTCCTATTGCTGGTGTAATCATCAAGATGTCCCACAGCGGATGCAGAATAGCTGTTATACACAAAAGAGTGATTCTGGCTCTTATTTATGATCAGATCACTCTCATCCACTCACGTGGTGGAAGGGGACCCTAAAGCAGATGTTCGGTCCAGGAATTTTCTATGGGCAAAGTAATATAAAAGATAAGATATAAAGAATAATATAAATGCATAAGAAGAGCTGTAAGACTTGTCAGGTGCTGATGAGGGTCCTCCCCAAGGGTACCCTGGCCAGGAGTTGCACCTTGCACTGACGGGAGTTGCAGCCATGAGCAAAGGCTGAACGTGACAGGACTTAGACCACTGACTACCTGGGGACCTTCTGCCAAGTCCCCCCAGTTTCTGAGGGGAGAGAATGTTTTCGAGGGTATCCACAGTAGGGAGTTACATTACCCTGCTTCTCACAGAAGCAGTGGCTCCTGGTCCCCTTCGCCTGGAGTTTTGTCCAGAGCTGCCCTCTGCCCCAAACTCGGTTCCGTGTTTATCTAGGCAAGCGTGAACTGCCCTGATTGAGACTTCTGGTCTATAGAGAGCAGATCACCCATTCTCTCACTGACTTAGCAACACTGGTCACCTTTCCTGAAACTGCAGACAGAGCTGGGTAACAACCCGCCTCCCTCATGTAGCCCATACATCCCAGTTACCTTAGTTTGCTTAGCAGAAGGAAGGAATAGAGTAATCTTTGTGCATGAATGTTATGAAGCTATATATTTGTAGATTAAATCCCTTGCTAATAAATTTACAATAGCAAATTCAGGATGTTAGTAGACCTCAGATTGCTGTAACTGGCTAATGTGAATATACGGGCACACTGAGTGAACTGTGAAATTTAGAGTGCATGGCTCAGTCCCTGTTGCCTCTCTGTTGATAAGTTTTCAAAACCCTTGGTGCCTTTTGAAGGAAAAGTAATGAAGGTGATGATTCAGTTTACTGCTGCTCCTGCCGTGGTACTTGGTATTATCTACATGAAGTAAGCCCAAGGAATATTGGTCTGCAAGGTATTTTGCAATCAGAAGTCAAGTTCAGATCTAGAGAAAAATATTTTTCTGGTGGAGCAGCTCAGAAGGTTTTGATGAGAAATGAAAATTGCTTTCCTGTGAAACACTTGATTACCCATGCCTCTGTTTTTTATTCAACTTTTTAATGTAATTCAGTTTTGGTGAAATCCATGTGATTTCTTTCTAAGTGCTTGACCCACCCTTATTCCCACAGTGGCAAAGTCTAGACTTGTAGTGAATATAAGAGAAGGGTTGATTTTGTTTGACATAGTTCAACTAAATTGTTTATGGACTTTGTCTCCCTGTTTATGTTAATGAAGTCTGATCTCTTCCCCCTATAGGATTTCCTCCGATGCATTTTTCTGTCCCCCAAGTCTCTCTGAAACCAACAAGACTGGGGTTATGAAGTCAGTCCTAGATGGCCTCGCAGATACAACTTTCCGAACAATCACAACAGATCTCCTTTACGTGGCCTCCAACGACATCCAGTACGAAGACATGAAAGGCGACATGGCATCCAAGCTGGGGTACTACCCCCAGAAGTTCCCTCTGTCCTCCTTCAGGGGTGATCCTTTCCAAGAAAAAATGACTGCAGGAGATGATCCCCTGTTGAGCATTATTCCTTCAGATCAGGTCAACATCACAGAGTTCTACAACAAGTCCCTGTCCACGTTTAAGGATAATGAGGAGAATATACAGTGCGGGGAGAACTTTATGGATATGGAGTGCTTTATGATCCTGAACCCCAGCCAGCAGCTGGCCATTGCTGTGCTGTCACTCACCCTGGGCACCTTCACGGTCCTAGAGAACCTCCTCGTCCTGTGTGTCATCCTCCACTCCCGAAGTCTCCGGTGTAGACCCTCCTACCACTTCATTGGCAGCCTGGCTGTGGCCGACCTCCTGGGCAGCGTCATTTTTGTCTACAGTTTTGTGGATTTTCATGTTTTCCACCGGAAGGATAGCCCCAATGTCTTCTTGTTCAAACTGGGTGGAGTTACAGCCTCCTTCACCGCCTCCGTAGGTAGCCTTTTCCTCACGGCAATAGACCGATACATATCTATACACAGGCCACTAGCTTACAAAAGGATTGTTACCCGACCAAAGGCTGTCGTAGCGTTTTGTGTGATGTGGACCATCGCTATTGTAATAGCCGTTCTTCCTCTACTCGGCTGGAACTGCAAAAAGCTCAATTCTGTTTGTTCGGACATATTCCCTCTCATCGATGAGACGTACCTGATGTTCTGGATCGGGGTCACCAGCGTCCTCTTGTTGTTCATTGTCTATGCCTACATGTACATACTGTGGAAGGCTCACAGCCACGCTGTTCGCATGCTTCAGCGGGGCACGCAGAAAAGCATAATCGTTCAGTCGACGGAGGATGGTAGTAAGGTACAGATCACTAGGCCTGATCAAACTCGTATGGACATCAGGTTAGCCAAAACCTTGGTCCTTATCCTAGTCGTTTTAATCATATGCTGGGGCCCTCTCCTCGCCATCATGGTATATGATGTCTTTGGGAAAATGAACAAGCTTATCAAGACTGTCTTTGCCTTCTGTAGCATGCTCTGTTTGCTGAATTCAACAGTGAATCCCATCATCTACGCTCTGAGGAGCAAGGACTTGCGACACGCCTTCCGCAGCATGTTCCCCACCTGCAAAGGAACGGCACAGCCCCTTGATAACAGCATGGAGTCTGACTGCCAGCACAAACACGCCAACAACGCGGGGAACGTGCACAGGGCTGCCGAGAGCTGCATTAAGAGCACAGTTAAGATTGCCAAAGTTACCATGTCTGTCTCCACAGACACAACTGCTGAAGCGTTGTAAGTCACAGACTTCTCAGATTGGGAGAGAAGGAGTTAGTTTGAAAAAAAAAAAAAATCAACAACAGAGAAAACCAAACCCATGGCTTAACGTGTTTGTACCCTCCTGTAATATTTTTTGGTTTGTCATTGTAAGCTGAGCAATGATTGTGTTAAGAGCATTACCATCAGCCAGTTCTTCAGGTTTTACAGTTAGGTGTTCAAGCTAAATTTTCACAAGTTTTTTCTCAAAAGGTGTTCACTGAATAATAATGTTTCCTGAAAGAGCACAGAGAAAATACCAGGTTAGCAATGGTTCCTTTTTTGGGGTGTGAAGAAAAATTGTGAAACCTAATTGAAAAATAATGCATTCTAAACCAATACCATCAAATAAGAAAAAAAAAAAGCCTTGTAATCATGCTGTTCATTTCAATGTGGAGTGTATTTCATGTCTGTAATAGGAGTTTCTGATTTTTTCCAAACGTGGCAGTGCTGAATTTTAGAGGTTTTGTAAAATGTGTCGTGTCCTGTGAATTGTATGCTGTTTTATTATGTGTTATTGATATTTGTCTAATTAAACAAAGTGATAAGGTAGACTTCCGTGAAAATAATGTGAAACGTGATATGTAAACCCCATTGAAAACACTTACTGTATTTGAGGAATTCCTATGAAATTTTACACTTTTAGTGGTCTTCTGTGGACTTAGAGGAGAGGCTTTGTGTTCTTCTACTAAAATTATTTCCCCACTACCTTTTATTTTCACATGCATATGAGAGTAACAGCAACAGAGGAATAGAGGAGGAATGTGAGAAAGGAAAGCACTGGTTCAGACTTTTAAATACTACTGCATTTATGCAGAAGGATGTTTATGGTTGCACAGACTATTGCCCTGCTCTTGGGCGTTGCATGAATATGAACACTGAAAAGCAAATGTCCCGGATGTTGGCTCCTTTAATGGGTCACTGGTTTTAAGCCACGTGCTGGTGCTGGACCACTGAAGACAGCATGTGTCAGACTCAAAGTGCCATGTTATCACTGTGCAGTTGATGTATATTTGAAGTGTGTCACATTCCTGTGTCCCAGGTTTAAGCAGATTCAGAGCCTGAGATGCCAAACTTCCGTCTTCAGTAAAAGAGGAGGAAATATTGTCAGACTTAGACATTTTCTTATTGTGTGAGCGTGTATATAAATAAATATCTGTGTGTGTACGTGTGTTTGCGTGTGTGTGTGTACTAATCAGTGTGAGTCATGGTATCATAACTACGATAGGACACTATGACCAAATGTAACTGTATTTCTTGTTGCACGCTTTGCACATGAATTCTGTTTCTAAAATTGAGTTCTTCCAACTGATTACTGATGAAAAGTACCATATTAAGAATGTCTCGATCAACTCTGAGATGTATATCAATATGCTAGAGAAAGCAACCTTTCAGCTGCTCTTGAGAAAAGAGGAAAAAAGAGGCAGAGAGCATGGATTGAGCCCGCACTGACAGCTGCTGTGGCTGTCAATGATGTTCCTGAAAACTGAGAAAGCCAGAAGTAAATGATAGTTTGTTTTAAGGCTGTCAGTAGTGAAATCTGATGGCTTGAAAACGAAGTGAATCTCGCTGAAACCAATGACAGGGTTTTACACTACCAGCTTCAAGGAAGAAGCTATTGACGGAAGAGGGTGACTCTGTTCCATGGTGGGATAGTTTCTGCTGCCTAGGACTGTCACAAGGAACATATTACAAGATAGTCTTTGAGGCATGGATATTCTGTAATTCTATTCTGAATCAGAAGGTCTGGGGTCCTCTTCTCTGCTGCCTTGCTTTTTTTGACTGTTCCCTCACCCTTCTGGCTGATTTCTGCCAAAATAGCTGCAAACACAGCTTAGCCTTCTAGCGGCCTGACATTTGCCACAACAGGGGTGACTTCCTCCATGGCACAGGGCAAGTGGAACAAGATCCGTGCTGCCCTGCCACTCGTCATTGGTCTTACGTAGAGGAGGAGACAGGGCAGCAGCCCAGGGTCTCTGGCTGCCATGACATTCCTAGGACATTTCTAATGCCTCAGTGCAGGCCAGAGCAGCCCAGCCCATTTCGGCCAGTGGCTCTGCAGGGATGCAAGTGGCTCCAAGTTCAGGCTTAATGAGTGGTGACATTTTAAAGATCAGATTAGGTGAGGTTCTGAGCAACAGTTGGAAGAGGCAGGGGTACTTTCCTCCTCCACCCACTGCAGCTTACCTGGGTGAGAGGGCAGGGCACCATGCTCTCAAGGGGTCCACCACGCTCAGCCAAAACCTGTGTATTACAGAGGACTCCCAGAGGCTGTACAAGTCCTCCTGAAAGATCTTTCTTATATCTAGGTCTAATCCATCCTAAAGAAGTCCTCTGGGAGGAGGGGGGGGAAGCCCATTTGAAATGTAAAGGTATTTTAAGAGCCATTTTTGAAACTGTCTTCTTGTGAATTAAATGCAAACTGGACCTTCATTGTGCATACAAGTTCTAAATTTTACATGATAAGTCATGGGACAATGGGGCTGTCTTGGCACTTAACTTGGTGCTTACTGATATAATAAGAAATAGCATCCTGTGAAATGTTATTGTCTATCATCAGTATCTTTATTTGCATAATGTGTTTTTCTAAAGCTCTGGGAACTGCATCGGTTCACTTAGAACCATCTATTAAGAGTCGGCAATGATTTCCTTACATGTTGCACACTAAGTAGAACTACTCTTTCATTAGAAAAATCTGCTGCCATTCCAAGAAAAGCTGTACTTAAACTTCAGCTTTAGGTATTCCTAATTTGCAGTTGCCTACCCTCACTTAGTGATAGCACAGCCAAACAATGTTGTGTTCCATGGCCACCCACACCATCATCATTTAACCAACCAGCGCTCGTTGCTGTTATGTCTGTGTACTGACTCCAAGTGTCACGTATCTACTGAGAAGACCATCTATGTCACACGCGTGCAGAGTTAGATTCTCAACAGTCTGATTGTATATTTGTATAATATAATCTCCTCGATGCTGTGCAATCACTATCCACATCTTCTTGCACTGGCCTTTTGATGAAAATTTTAGTGTGTCTATTGTGAGATAGACAGTGCATTTTACCTGCTGTTAATGGGCTGAATGTATGTAAATAAGTGGAAAAAAAAAAAAGTCATCTGTACAAGCAGTGGCCTAAAAAGTCTGTAATTGTAGACTAGGAAAATTGTTGAAGTTGCTGTGACATCTCAAATACTACCTTTGAATAAACTGTTTCCAGGGTCTCTTGGGATGCTGTTTCATAGTGAAAGGAAAATCTTTCCTTGTGATAATATGAGGTAAAGAAATTGGATTACCTGAGTTTTTTATTTCCAGTGTTTCGAAGTATAGAACATAACTCTTTATTGTCTGTAAATCTAACATTATTACTTCCTCTTAGAAGAATATTGTATCATTAGATGTTTGTTTGAGCTGGTAACATCCTTGCAACTGTTGGAATATTTTTCATTAGCAACCTGTATAATAGTTTGTACACAAGTACTGTTCAAATTGTCATGAAAAGTAGCTTTGACCATTTACCTACCAGTAGCAGAATAGTATTTCTGTAAGATTTCCATTGTATTCCTACCATATCATATTTTATTTCTATAATGTAATTAAACTGTTATTTATTCAAGGAGAAAAAGTATTCCTCTGCTTTTTTGTTTTCCAAATTTTTAGATAACTGAGGAAGCCATGTGATAATGCTGCCTCATTCCACAATCTGGTGCTCTACGTTTTGTTTATAAGTTTGTCTGTCAGATTCTGAAACAACTGCTTAAACAACTTGACAACAGGTTGTCAAGTTTTGTGGGTTTTAATTGTACGTTGATATGTTTGAAGGAGGAGGTAGATTATATATTTTATATTTGTGTATTCAGTACTATGGAGACGAGAGAAATGACACAGTTAAAACTGCATCTCCTGTTTCATTATGTAGGCAATTTCCCCTTTCCTCTGTATTAGCCAAAATGCAATAAATTTCTTTTGCCTTCCTTAGATGCATATGTTTGCACAGAGATATTACATTAAGGCAAACCCATATACTTTAGAAAAACAAAACACAAAAGAGCAGAAGAAAGGAATACAAACTAAAATAGTGCTGCCAACAGCAACGACGATCTAAATAGGTTGTTGGGGTTTGTGAATGTACTCAAGAACTTGAGACAAACAGTCTGGTTTTGGGCAGTGCCCATGGGGGCAGAGTCATGGGTGTAGGGAGTGGAAGATGAAGTGGTCAAACAGGGATGCACAGAAGCTGTGCAGGGAGAGCAAGCTAAGCCTTTCCACTGCTTGTGGGTCACACTAAAGCGCTCTCGCTGCTGCTCATCCACAACTGAAAGGAAGGGTTGAAAAATCCCACTAAAGGCTGTATAGAAAGGTCCCTGCCTATTTCAGAGGATCAGTTTTCTGTATGACATAATCTCAGATTCATCTTACTTGGGCAATTTTTCCTTCCTCACATCTGTGGTTGAAAACATCCTTAGGGGATGAAGTGAGCATGTCATAGAATCAGAATAATTTAGGTTGGAAAAGACCTTTAGGATCATCAAGTTCAAACATGAACCTCACACTGCCAAGGCTTTGGATCATGGCTGTGTCACAATATTTTTAAAAATTAGGTCACCGGTGAATTGAGAAAGTCTTGGAAAAGCAAAAGCAACTAGGAATAAAAGATTAGCTCTTAATCTTTAACTGTATACTACATTTAAGAAGTCTGAATATTTCTGCTAAAAGCTGTCACTTTCAAGGCAGTCAGGAGATTATTCCCACTGTATTTCCATGCTCACTGGAAAACAAGGGTTATACTGCCACAAACTGTCAACTCCTTCTGATGGTAACACCTAACTGCATTTATAAGTCTATTCTAACAACACGAGAGGAAATAATGACAGCTTTCCAAGCAACTGCTTTCCCACACTCTACCAGCTCAGGAAATGTGGGGGCAAATGTACTGTTGTTGTTTTAGCCTTTCATATTAACATCTGTTACTGTTTCCACTCTTCTGACAGATGTTTTAAGAAGTTACAATATCATCATGCACACACATCATCAATAAAACTTCTTCATATTGTTGGTAGGGTTTTTTTTTAAAGTTTTGTCTTCAGTGAAGGTCCAGCTTAGGCTTGGTTGAAAAATTATCATATGAGGGAACAGTTTACAGTAGAAGAGAAAAAAGTAATTTTGCCTGTGTTTAAGTAAGCATAGGGTGGGGAGTTTTATTTGACACTTTAGAATACGTCTTCCTCCATTCTGTTTTTATGCATTTGTCTTTTTAGGTAATTGATATAAAGAGTTTTCCTTAAATAGCAGTATAATGTATGAAGCACATGATTGCCTTTAACAGGACTCCTTAATTTGGACGGCCATCTAATACTGCTCTTTGAAATCCAGTTAGGAGAAAAAGTGATAATGAGCCCAAGGTAATCTTGATGATGAGGCATGACATGCCCTGGTATTGCTTTCCAATAAATCATCTTTGGTATTTAGAGCAGTACTCAGTTTAATGTTAAAGCATTTTAAGGTATTGAATCCTGTCTCAATAAAGTCCGTTGGAATTTTTTATTGACTTCAGTAGAGATGATGTCTTACCCCAGGTTTTTGAACTTTGAGCTTGCATTTGGAAAGTGCAATTTTATATTCCAATGTATTTGCATTTTCACTGACATTAAAAGAAAGATGGGACAGAATAAATAACAGCTTCTGTATTCATTGGGGGGTTTTACCTCCAAGAAAATCTGTTTTGAATTTGGGTGGGTCAATGCAGAATTCAAAAGTCTGGCAGGAGCTCAGTGGACTTATCATGGGAGTGAAACTATTTATTTATCCATATGAGTGTAGATGGGGTAGAGAACATAATGAGCAAAACTGCTTTCACTGTTGCTGGCAGTCACTTCCTGACTGCTTGTACTGGTGATGTTTTGACACTGCTTTCTTCCTTTTCCCATGTGCATATATGTGTATGCATGGTGAAAACAGGCCACATGAATTCAAAAGCTTTCTCCAAAATAAGTATTTTATCTATATTATGTTTTTTTATTATTATTATTGTTGTTGTTGTTACTAGTATTATGTGAAGGGAAACCTCTTGTGCCATTTGTAGCCATATCTGGATGGATCAAGCCCTAACATTGTTATCTGAACCACTTCTTTTTCCCCAAGGATCTCACTGGAAGTCCTTCAAGGGCTCAGCACAACAGGGATACCCCACTTTACATCAAACTGAGGAGAGGGAAAACGGAAGAGAGCTGGAAACTCCCTGGTTCTTGTTTTTACCAGGCTGTTCCTGGAGCTGCTGTGTGTGTAATGTTGTCAGAGTCTCTGGGGACTCCCTCACAGTGCCTCCAAAAAGGTGATTGCTTTAACCTGGCTGAGAGCAGAAAGCACAGCAAGAGGAGTGAAGAATAATCTTCTCTTGTTGAGACTCTGAAAAGAAAGGAATTAATACTGCAATGATACAGAATTGGGGACCTGCTATGCTTCATTTCTGAGTTATGGAACAAGGATTAGGGGTATCATTTAAATAGGGGAATGTAGGGAATTATACAGGCTACAGATCCATCTAGTAAACACTCCTCCCAAACCTTCAGAAGGGTAATAATAAATCCTGTGAGGCCTTTCATCAGCTGCCTGGGGAAAAAAAATGTAATCATTGTCTCTGCAATATTTAACTTGCAGTATAATTCAAAGTCATTTAAAAATTATACACCTACCTGCTATCAGTGTAGTCTGAGTAGGCAAAATTAATAACAAGCATGCTCAGTAAATCCAAGGTTTAAATCTTTAACTAGAATTTTAATGTCTAAATTGAGTAATACTATCAGTCATCAGAATTACAGTTGTCTGCCTCCTTATCTTTTCCTATTTATTTGAGGGGTTTTACTTCTCATTCTTATTATAGCCCTTGCAAAACCTGATAGCTCTGGCAGAGAGGGAGGGACTATCTCTCCGCATGCAGCCGCTGATGCTGCTGAGCTGCCTGCAGCAGCAAGGTCAGGGCACCCAGAGACTGCAAAACACTGATCTGGACGAGGAGGCAAAGAGAGGGGATTTGCTACTTCATAGCAAACCTAGGAGGAGATAAAAGTGCAAAGCCTTCTGGGGTGCATCTCCTTACAGCTTGGGAGGTGCTGGATGGACACTGTCACAGGGAAGGGAAAGCTTCGTGTTCAAACCTCCCCTTCACTTCCTCCTCAGTAGTTGTTGCTGGGCTTCTTGGCAGGGACATGGCCAGAATTGTTGTACCCAAGAGTTAGTTCCCATGATGAGGCACTTGCGAAGAGATCTGGATGTTTTCTGCCTGTACTGAGTGTGAATTGTTCATAGCTTAAAAGTCTGCGTTTTTACCTCCACTTGTTCTTTAAGAAAAGCTTCCACTTTGATCTTTGGAGTTCCTCACTCAGGATCTTGAAGTTGACCAATATGTGCCTATGTGCATATGATAAAAAGTTACACACATCTACTGTTCTTATGGGTAGGTTGCAGGAAAAGTAGCTTGCCAGCAAAAGACTCAAAAAAGACCACGTTATCCATCAATAAATTAGGCATTTAGCCCAGGTAATTTTCTATGCCAGTGATATATACAGGTAAATAATTTAACTCATTTTCCCCTGGGAAAGTTGAGGATCTAGTTTAGCTTAGTTAAAAGACTGAGTTGCCTCAATGGCAAGGCAGAAAATGGTTGCATCTGGTTCTGGGAAGGACCACTCCTATAGTGACCAACATCTGACCTCCTAAACAGATACATAATCAGAGAACTATTGGGTTCTCTCATTCAAGAGATTCAGCCCTGGTTTGAAATGAGTGTCCATAATTTAATTTCTTTTTAATCCCATTCAAATACCACTCGTCCTGCAGATGCTTTATTTTATTATTGCAGACATGATGAAGCTACTGGCTATCATAAGAAAGAACAGGGGGGTGTTCGAACTCAGTGCTGCTCTATTCTTACACTTTAGCTGTTTGCCCTTTCTTGCTGATTACATGAGGCTTTTAAATAGTTGTTTGGGATCTAATTTTAGTGGCTGTGTCAGCTGGCCCCTGCTGAGGCTTAAATCCTTTTGCTGACCATGGAAGTGTAGACTGAAATCTCGAAAAGGAACATGTCACTTGCCTTCTAGAGAACAGTGTGGAGGTGGGAATGAATAGGAAAGTGTTTTTTGTTGGAAAGTGAACAATGGAAAGCATGAGCACATGGGCTGATGAACATTTTCTGTGGTCCCATGCCCTCTGGCAGTTTGTTCCTTCTCTCTATGCTGCCTCCTCCATAGTGCTAACACAAGTGCTTGCATGCCTCCCTGCTGAGTCAGATCCGGCTGAACCAATCCAGCTAAAAACCCTTTTTTTTTTCAGTTTGGGACATGTAATGCCTGCCAGATCATTTCCAGACTGCATGACCTGGGTTCCAGAGCTGGGAACTGGTGCAGAATTTGTCACACAGGCAACTCGACAGCTCCATCAAACGTGGTTCCTGCTGTGCCAGGCGTGTTATGGGACTTTCAGGGGCTTGTTGTTCATTATCAAAACAATCTAAAAGTGTTCTGCACTTCCAAACAGGTGCTCTGAGGGAAACTTGAGTTTCAGAGCCCACTGAAGCACTGAAATTGTAGGGACTGCATCTGTGTCCTTCAAAGGCAAAGT